GAGGAGGAGGAGGGGGGAGGAGGGGGAGGGGGAGGAGGAAGAGGAAGGAGGAGGAGACGAGGAGGAAGGGGGAGGAGGAGAGAAAGAGATGGAAGAATGCATAGATGAATGGATTGGTAAATGGATGGATGAACGGTAGATAGATAGATAGATAGATAGATAGATAGATAGATAGATAGATAGATAGATAGATAGATAGATAGATAGATAGATAGATAGATAGATAGATATGGAAGGATACCTAGATGGGTGAATTGGTAAACGGGTGGATCGATGGGTGGATGGATGATGGATGACAGACTGACAGTCAGATACAGGGCAATTATTGATCTTGGACCTTGTTTTGTTTTGTTTTACGGAAAAAGCCTAAACCTGGTTCATGTAAATCCCACTTTGGATTTGGCGTGTGTGGCGAGCGAGCCCCACTTTTGTAGTTAAGGGGAGGGGGCCGGGAAGGGCGTCTCATGCGACACGTGAATCCAAACCGAGGGTTAATCCGGTAACTAGGTGACGCGCGATTCTCCCCAAAGCGAAGGTGCGGTTGGGTTGCAGATGGTCTGCCAATGGGAAGCTTTCAACGGAATGAAAGGAGGGTGGGTGGGTGGCAGAATCAGGATCCCCATGAATCAGGCGGAGGAGGAGGGCTAACAAGAGACGCTCACAACCACACGTGCGTCGCGGAAGCAGGAGGTGGTGGTGGCTGGTTGGCTCCGGAGAGAATTTGCCAACTGGCAGAAATTTGGGCGGGGAGGGGGGGGGTGTCTGGCTTGATTGAGGGTTTCCCAAACCTGGTTTCCAGGTGGGCGGACTTCAACTCCCAGAAATCCAACAGCCGGCAGGCCCTCTGCGGAGAATTCTGGGAGTGGAAGTCCACCTACCTGGAAATGCCCGAAGCTGGGGAAACGGTGGCCAATGGAAACCCAGCCAAGCAATTACGCTTAAAACATTTCCTGCCTCGGATATGGAAAAGCGAGATGAAGGAGAGGTTTCAAGAGGAAGGCTTGGGGAAGTCGTAGTCCTCGTGGTTCCTATATTAGAATAATTTTAGGGCAAGACTTGGGTTAGTTTTGTAGGACTGGCAAATTCATGCACCCCAGTGCCTAAATGGGTCGGCGTATCTATCGTCTTTTTGTCTATCCAGAGACAGGTAGGTAGACAATGGTAGGTAGACAGAGATAGAGACAAGGATGGGTGGACAGATAGAACAGACACAGTAGGATAGATGATGTAGAATAGAATAGAATTCTTTATTGGCCAAATGTGATTGGACACACAAGGGAATTTGTCTTGGTGCAAATGCTCTCAGTGTTCATAAAAGAAAAGAGACATTCGTCAAGAATCATAAGGTCCAACACTTAATAATCGTCATAGGGTACAATAAGCAATCAAAACATACTAGGAAACGGTCAATATAAATCGTAAGGATACAAGCGACAAAGTTACAGTCATACAGTCACAAGTGGGAGGGGATGGGTGATAAGCAGTGATGAGAAGATTAATAGTAATAGTAGTGCAGACTTTGTAAATAGTTGGACAGTGTTGAGGGAATTATTTGTTTAGCAGAGTGATGACATTCTGGGGAAAAACTGTCCTTGTGTCTAGTTGTTCAGGTGTACAGTGTTCTATAGCGTCGTTTTGAGGGTAGGAATTGAAACAGTTTATGTCCAGGATGTGAGGGGTCTGTAGATATTTTCACAGCCCTTTTTTTGACTCGTGCAGTATACAGGTCCTCCGTGGAAGGCAGGTTGGTAGTAATTGTTTTTTCTGCAGTCCGAATTACTCTCTGAAGTCTGTGTCTGTCCTGTTGGGTTGCAGAACCAAACCGGACAGTGATAGAGGTGCAGATGACAGATTCAATAATTCCTCTGTGGAACTGTATCAGCAGCTCCTTGGGCATTTTGAGCTTTTCGCAGAAAGACCATTCTTTGTTGTGCTTTTTAATGAAATTTTTGATGTTAGGTGTCCATTTTAGGGCTTGTGATATGATAGAACCTAGAAATTTGAAGGTCTCTACTGTTGATACTGTGTTGATATAGATAGATGGACAAGCAAAAAAGGTAAATGGAAAACGGAAAAGAAAGAATAAAGAAAGAAGTAGCTTTCAATCTTCTGTACCATAGTTATATACATACAATTATAATAAACTTATCTCTTTCTCTATGGCAAGGGTCTTCAAACTTGGCAAGTTTATGACTTGTGGAGAGGAATTCTGGGAGTTGAAGTCCACAAGTCTTAAAGCTGACAAGTTTGAAGACCCCTGCTCTATGGTTACAACATAAATCTTTTCTTTCTACAATTTAGTCTGATCATCAAAAATATAAATCGTAAGTTCATTTTTGGTGGGGTGATTCATGCAAAATGTCTACAAAGTTTTGCCAGTCAGCAATAAATGGAGATATTGTTGGCGCCTGAAGACTCTGAAAGAGCAAGAAATCATTTTTTATGTTTTCATCCTTATCTTGAGATTTTTCCCTCATTGCATATGTGGATTCTCTTCATTGTCTTGATTTAAACCCAAGCCAGTGGGTTTAAATCTATTATTATCCATTCAGGATCATCCTGAAAAATTGCTTCCTCTGTAGCTTTGAGAAATATTTGATTTCATATATGACTTTATTATTCGTATATAAATAACATTTTTTAAAAGAGATCATTTCTAGTTTTTATGTATCACATCCCAGGAGCATCAAATGGTATTCTAAAAGCTCAGTTATCAATTTTAGTTCCAAAACTGTCAGTGTTTGAATTTAGATTTGAAACTTCCACATAAACGCTGATATGCAAGCTGCAAGTTTTTCCTAATTTAACTGCTATTGAATTTTTTTATTTTATTTCGGATTTGTTTATCTTGCCTTTATTATTTTCATGAGTAACTCAAGCAATAACTGAAGCAATGAACCTACCTAATGCTCCTTCCTCCTCCTCTATTCCCCAAAACACCAATCTTGGTGAGGTGGGTTGGCCTGAGAGTGAGTGACTGGCCCAAAGTCCTCTAGTCGGCTTTCACGGACCTAAGGATCAATAGTCATATAGATTCAATCCCAAAACACCTGGAGCACCACTGGAACACCGTCAGCATTGACGAAATCCCCATCAGTCAATTGCAAAAGGCAGCATGACTTGGAACAGCTGACATCCTGCAACTATATCTTTTAACATCCCCCCAAGCAACATCTGAATAAAAATGCCAAGTCCAGTTTAAACATCTGGCTGGTTGTGGCACCAACCACAATAACGGTGTTACCTAGTTGGGTCTTGAAACATCCACAAACAAACCACCCAGCTCAGAAAGAATCAGAATTAGAATAGAGCTGGAAGGGGCCTTGGAGGTCTTCTAGTCCAACCCCCCCCTCCACCACCCCCCTCCCGCTCAAGCAGGAGACCCTACACCATTTCAGAAAGATGGCTGTCCAGTCTCTTCTTAAAAACTTCCAGTGATGAAGCACCCACAACTTCTGAAGGCAACCTCTGTTCCATGGGTGGATTGTTCTCACTGTCAGAAAGCTTCTCCTCAATTCCATGTTGCTTCTCTCGTTGATTAATTTCCATCCATTGTTTCTTGTTCTGCCCTTCCGGTGCTTTGGAAAATAAATTGACCCAAGGACCCCACAGTTCATCCCTGAACTGTAGATATTCTCTTCTCTTGAGGCCCAGAGGTTGTTCTCTGTGATTGTCTGGTGTGGGAGAGGGTTAGAAAAAAAAAACCCCACTTTGAACACAGCAGAAGAGAAATGCAGATTGAAGCAATGCTTAGCAATGCCCCAGACAGAGCGCTGGGAATTGCTAGGAAGTACAAGGCGCCATGAAACCTTCTCG